GTACCGTGACAAATCAAAATTATGGCCTCTGTATTCATGGGGTAAAATTTGAGACGATTTGAAACACCCAGTTTCATGAACGATGGATTTCTCAGATGCCACTTTCGCGTCGCCTCAGTTCTTAAATCGGTTTAAGGTGAAGTGAAACATCCTTCAAATCAGTCGATTCGAATACAACACTTTTTTTTTAAGGGTGTTGGACCAAACTGTCCGAAACTTTGACATATCACTCCTGATCATCTAAGAATTGTCCTGACACATTCAAAATTTGGATTTTTCAAGAAAATTTTTTAACTCAGCTCAAACAAGAATCAAAATGGCGTCGAGCTCTCATATTTCGATCGATATACAATTATCGAAGGCTCTGATATGAGAATCGAAAGGGTCAGGACAATTTTACGAGAATTTAGAACACTCTGGTAATCGATAAACTCGCAATTGAACGGGATAAAGGCAAAAAAAGTGTTGTATGCGCTTCTATGCCAAAACGATGGTAATACGAGGTCTCGGAGTGAAAATTTAATTGACCTGGAAATCACAGATGGCGCAGGGGGTCCCTCCGCAGTCAATTAGGGCCCCAAAAGGCACGAATCCAGAGGATTTCTGGAGTTTTACTTCGATTTATTTATAATTATTGTACGAAAACGACAGGTGGAATATGCCATTTGGTACAATACACAATACAATTCGACCCAGCTGTCAATATAAAAACGAACGTCGGCAACGTAGGCATTTAGAAAAATCCTCTTTATCGACGTCGATCAAGTTCCTCGACGTGTTTCACTTCACCTTAAGCCCCACACTTGTTCCCGTTTTGGGCGGCTCTGGGTACAGGTGTATTTCCTAAGATGGTAATTTTGAAGAAATATGAGCAGGGTCTGCCGTGAAGATTTGTAAAGGTTTACGAAAGGTTTATCAAGCTTTATGAAGCTTTGTGAAGCTTTGTGAAGAATATGGCCTTGAAGAAGACCTCTCGGATGCTCGTCCCTCTCGATGTCACGGACTCGTGAGCTCGATTCATCCCTGGCTTCGATTTAGAGGTGTAATTGGCTCGTCGCGGGTGAACGAGAGCGAGAGCCTAGAATGGCTGGAAGAGAGAGAGAGAAGATGCGAAAGGAAGGACGGCCGGAAGGAGAGAAAGGGGGAGGACAACGGGAAATGGAGAGAGCTGGAAGAAGGACTCTCCCTGGGAAAAGGCTGCTTTTTCGACACGAGCGCCAGTCGATATCGAATAAATAAAAGCCGGCGTCGCGACGCCTGGTTTACGAGTCGCCTATATAAACGCGACGGCCCTACGGCGTCCTGCATAAACCAGGGGAAAATCCATTTAGAAGCTCCCTGAAGCCTTCTTCGCGACTCGGCTGGCTCCTTTCCGTTCATTCGGAAGACTCGACTGTCTGCTTGAGTTCCCTTTAATATATACATCTCTTAAAAAAACACCTACGGTGTAAAAAAAACTTTGCCAAATACATTTTTATCTCCGACTTCAATTAAAAAAATAGCTCAACAATGGAAATCAATTATCTTTGCCAAATACAATAATACTTTCATACTATTGAAACTCTAATCAGTTATTTTTCCCAAAAATACATAGTATATTTTCCCCCACATAAACAAGTATATCCATTCCAAAAAATTTGCTTTGCNGTTAGAAAAAAATGTCGAAATTAATATTTTGCAAAATAATTTTTGTTAGAAAAAAATGTCGAAATTAATATTTTGCAAAATAATTTTTGTTAGAAAAAAATGTCGAAATTAATATTTTGCAAAATAATTTTTGTTCGAAAAAAATGTCGAAATTAATATTTTGCAAAATAATTTTGGCTAGAAAAAAATTTCATGTAAAAATTTCAGGTCGGCGGAGTGCTCTTTGAAATGTTTTATTCGTAACGGGGGAGAGGTCTTGTCACCTTGATTCGGTGAAGACGGAGTTGCGCAGACTTTTGGCGTCACGTGTGCGGTCACCTTAAGGCGCGAGCGCGATCGGACCGCAGGTATAAAAAGGGCGCGCGCGGGTCGGGAGCGGCAGACGCCGCCCGGAGGGGGAGCAGGAAGGACGGCTGCCGGGAGTCGAGAATCCATCCAGGTCGCGTTTTGGCTTCCTAGGGTAATTGCCGCGCTCCTTTCCGGGGTTTCTGATTTCCCCTTTATCGGCGGGCCGTCGCCACTTTGTTCCCTCGGTGCCCCGTCAATCGGGGTGCGTGCTTCGGCGTTTCGCCACCCCCTGCGAAAAGGTGTACCGTTAATGAGGCGGAAACTACCCCCGACGTAGCAACAGGCGGCAAGCCGAGCGTGTTTTGTGTGCCTGCTCGAGGCACGGAAGGGGAGAGGAGGAGGGCGAGTAAAACGATTGAAGCGATTAAAACGATTAACGCTGTTGAAAAGGTTAATATCGGGAAAGGAGAACACTATGCGATAAATATACTCATGGGTGAATGGGGAGGAGATCCACGGGCTAAGGAGTGACAAAATCTGCCTCTATTATGTCCACTAAAGAAAAAGGGAGAAAGTACGCGCGAGGCGCGGTCGATACAGCGGAAAGTCCCCAACCGAGCAGGCTCTAGGGGAAATCTGCTGGACGCACGAAACAGCCGGCGGAAAGTGCGGCCGTAAGTGCACCCTTTATGTCTCCTTTTACGCGATCTCGCCTGCCGAAAAACGTGACGGGAATGTCTCGCGTCTCGTCGGCCTTTTCTACTCCCGGGATTTTCGATTTCAGGGCCTCGCAGGATCGCGCCGACCTCGGCGTCACACCTCGACCTAGGAAATGAGGCGCTGCGCCGGGAAAGTGGGGTTAGGAAAACTCCAGCAGGGCGCGTCAGTATTTTTAGCGGTGAGGATGCACATTGTCGTATACCGCACTCGGCCAACACGCGCGCACCTTCTTCAGGGTGTCGTCACTCGAGATGGTGACACGTGTCGAAACATCCGAAAACCCAAATATACACCATTCGGCCGGGAATTCTTAGCTCTTGGAGGTCCAGAGGCCTCCCCGGCCGACGAAGATATTCTCACGACTCGTGGCATGGGCGTCGTGTCCAATTTTTCCGAATTTTTCTCCAATTGGGAATATCGCGTTACCTTTGAAATGAAATCCACTCTTTTAGGACCAATCGTCTGGATACTGGATTTTATATTCCCTGCGACGCGGTGCAACTGTCATGGCGGCGGGTAGGGATAACGCACCCTTAGTGCCCAGAAGGGCGTCGTGTCCAATTTTTCAGAATTTTTCTCCAATTCCTAGGTAATATCGCGTTACCTTTAAAATGAAATCCACTCTTTTAGGACCAATCGTCTGGATACTGGATTTTATATTCCCTGCGACGCGGTGCAACTGTCATGGCGGCGGGTAGTGATACCGCACCCTTAGTGCCAAGAATACAGAAGCGTTCTTGGTGGTCATGGTGCGGTCGGTTGTTGACGTGGGAATTGAACGCGATCCAAGCAATTAGTTGTCCAAATACCCGTCAGTTTGAACCTCTGTAAAATTCAAACCCGCCGAAAGTAAAAACCCACGTGGTCGGGGTCCATAACTCTAAGCCGAGGAGACAAAGAGTCTCGTCCTGCGAGGTTTTGCTTTCGACCCTCGGTTTTTTCCGGTTATTAAGAAAAAATCCAATCGAGGCTACGAGACGTCGTTAGTCGCTCTTATCGGCCCCTTTTGGCCTGCCGCTTATCAGGGGCGTCGATATTCGAACGGCAGGAGGCAAATCCGAGCGCTGATTAAAAGCCGCTCGGTAATCGTGGGTTGTTAAAATTGATTATATTAATTATAGCTCGAGAAGAAAAATTGATATCGCCGATTTATTCCAATTTCGTCTAACAGACATTTCATTGAACTTAATCGCGGGATTTTGTTGTCGGATATTTCTTTGAGTCAATCTACTTTTGTTTTTCCTCGGTGTATATATGTTGACATTCAAATGTCAACATTTACCGGTGTAAGTCAGAAATAAGGGTGTTTAGCAAATATTTCGGACATACACTAAGCGACTATGTGAATGTTGACATTCACCGGTGATAGTCGACATTCTCCAGGTTTCGGTGTTTCACCGTAACATATACATTATTTAGGGATCGTCCCTTTAATGGCGCGCTCGTGTTTATGAGAATTTCTTTGTCACGACCCAGTGACCCGGTGAAAACGCCTCCGTGGTATAAATCCTGAAACTAAAAGCCGCTTATTAGTCGCGACCATTAAACCTCGTAACGCCTATTTGACTGTTAACAATGATTTCGAATTCGTGCGGCCGCCCTCCCTTGTCATTACTCCCGTTTAGTCGAGCGGCGCGCACCAATTGGAAAGTAAATTTGAACCTTAATTAAAGTCCCTCTCACGTATGCGCCGGCCGTTTCCACTAATTATAATCGGATTAATTGAAAACGTACCGGGGTGCGCCGCGGCGCATTATGCAACGATTTATCAAGCGACACCGCGCCCACCTTGACGCACCGTCGGCGTCCCCTCGATCCGAAGGCGTATACGACCTACGACCTCGTAAAGCGCGTCCACCTAAAACCGATCTAATCTCGGCCTAATCTCGAGCTAATCTCCCACATCGTCGCGAGAGACCCGAACGAGCGACCGCACTGGATAAATCCTCGGTGGACCCTCGAAATCCTCCCTGAAATCGCGCCTCTCTTAAGCGGGGCAATGTGCTGGAATTAACTTTGCCGCCGCCATCTTGGATTTTTTTTCTACCGCCAGCGGAGCGTGTAAGTCGAGAGTTTGTTATATCACCTGAGTTGAGAGGAGGGGTACTTTAATTCACTTATTACCTGATGCTTATCCGGTAATGGGTAATCCAGTTGTTTGTTTTATAGGGAATGTGCAATGTTTATGTAAAAATGTGAAATTGTTGGGCGCCTCGTACTGCCGGCTTCGCGGCTCCCGAGGATGCCCGAACGGTTCCGATCTTGCCCGAGCGCGACGCGACGGCGCACGCGGCGAGACAAGGCGAACGTAACCTGTATGAGTGTTTGCGCGTGCCGGGGGATCTTGCATGTCGATTTTCGCGCTTCGTTTGAGAATATGGATGGGGATCGATGTGTACTTTGTGATTTCGTGGACGATAGCAAAGTGATCGCTGTCGGGTATCGCGAGTGGCTGGAAAGTGAGCACACTGACGATGAGATTTGCGACATTGTGCAGAACGTCCAAGAGGTTAGGATCAAGTGGCCGGCTGATTGTGATGTTGGCCCGCCGGCGGATATGAAACTCTTGAAGGACTGTAAATTCGTTACCGCCGTGGCCAAGATCCTCGCTTATGGCGGTGAGTATAAAATTATTATCTCTACTTCTGTCCGAGAGGGAATACTCTCAACTACGTTGCACTGATTTTAAGGCTGGTACTGTGAATGCTACCGAATGAAACGTCTCGATTGTTGCATTATTTCAGAATGGGCAAAAATGTGCACCCTCCGAGAGAACATAATTAACTACGGAGTTCTTCGACCCTCGAAGAACGACAGGAGGAGCCCCGAGGATAAAGATAACGTCGACAAGAAGGGCGGACCGCAGCCAAAAAAAGTAATGCTCCCGTTGTATGTAAACGAATTTCATGTTTCAAGGGGAATAAAGTGTACGAAACGTAGAGCGATCTGCGGAAGTTTAATAAAGTTCTTGGCAATTTACGTGTTTGGGCTGTATGTGTATGAATTTGTGATATGAAAGAAATGCTTTAACATTTTTCTCGGCTTTCCATGTTTCAGGCGAAGTTGGAAACGAAGGCGTTAAAGGCGAAGAGGCCAGGATTCACGGACGAGCGATACAATGAGACCAGCTACTACGTGGAGAACGGTCAGTGCCACATTTTACCACTTTGTCATTGCGCTGCCCCTTCCAGTCGTAGTTTCCACCGTCATTTCTCTTCGTTATCTATTAACACCCGAAGGAATTAGGGTTTCTCTCGTTGTCCTGGCTCGTCTACCATTTTTCTCAGCCCTTCGAGGTTGCTGGTATCATCCGTCGGTGATACTTTTCATTGCTAAAATTCAATGGAGCTTCCGCTTAATTATTGGATGCTTAGGAAATTTGCATTCGGTTCACAAAAAGGGAGAACGAAGTATGTCTCTCTCTCTGTGGTCGATCAGACTCTATGTCGAGGCTCGCACGTGGTGGGAATGTTCAGGGTGAGTTCTAATCACGAAGTCGTGCTCCTCGCTCGTCCGCTTAATCGGCGAGCAATTCGCCGACCAATTTCCGCAGGTACGAGAACACGTATTCCGTGTACGCTCGATGCGGAGAGAAATTCCGCCTTCAGGAAGTGTGCAGAGGAGGAGAGAGAGTCGAATCGAAGGGGCGGCGCTCGTAATGTAATACGTGAAATATTCAAATCGTCTGACATGGGGAATATCGATCAGCATGCTCGTCTCTTCCGCATCATCTCTCTCGCGGAATATCCCCTGTCGGGATTCCGCACCGAACAAAGTGACGAATTTCCCTAACTCGCGCGAATTGGTCACTCGGTCAGCCTGGAAGTCATTTTCCTCGGGGAAAGAAAATGCTGGATAAATTGAAATCTCCCGGATAAAATCGACGAGACCTCGCCTCGGTTTTCCGGCCGGAAGTGGAAATCCAATTCGTTTGTCGGAAAGTAGAAATCGAAGTTTACCACCGCCGAGCGGGGAATAATTAGAGGCGGTCGCGGGGGACTTTTGACCGAATCGCGTTCTCTCTTTTTCCTCACTTTTCCCTCGATTTTCCCTCTTCCCCCTCTCTTTTTCCCCCCTTTAACGCCCGCCCGATCGAAAATTCAGATTGGCCGCGAATTATTCGTAACTGATACCTCCGCCATTCGCGGATAACATGCGGTCGACGAGCATCGCAATCATCGGTTGTTCACCTGGACATTTAATACCATCGGACTGTGACGAGGGTAGTTAATAACCGGTGACAATCGGTCCTCTCGTTAATTTTTTGTTTTCCATCCCGATGGAAAAATTCACCCCCTCCGGAATTGCGGAAAAATGCCGTGAAAAGTCGGCACTCCATTTTAATCGACCGCATCACATATAACGCTTAAGGTGAAGTGAAACACGTCGAGGAACTTGATCAACGTCGATAAAGAAGATTTTTCTAAATGCCTACGTTGCCGAGGTTCGTTTTTATATTGACAGCTGGGTCGAATTATATTGGGTATTGCACCAAATGGCATACTCCACCTGTCGTTTTCGTACAATATATATCAAGAAATCGAAGTAAAACTCCAGAAATCCTCCTGATTTGTGCTTTCTGGGGCCCTAATTGACTGCGGAGGGACCCCCTGCGCCATCTCTGATTTCCAGGTCAATTAAATTTTCACTCTGAGACCTCGTATTCCCATCGTTTTAGCATAGAAGCGCATACAACAATTTTTTTGCCTTTATTCCGTTCAAATGCGAATTTATCGATTACCAGAGTGTTATAAATTCTCGTAAAATTGTCCTGACCCTTTAGTTTCTCATATCAGAGCCTTCGATAATTGTATATTGATCGAAATATGAGAGCTCGACGCCATTTTGATTCTTGTTTGAGCTGAGTAAAAAAAATTTGTTAAAAAATCCAAATTTTCAATGTGTCAGGACAATTCTTAGATGATCAGGAGTGACGTGTCAGTTTCGGACAGTTTGGTCTAATACCCTTAAAAAAAAGTGTTGTATTCGAATCGACTGATTTGAAGGGGGTTTCACTTCACCTTAATGCCAGTCCACTTTCAAAGTTTCGGACAGTTTGGTCTAATACCCTTAAAAAAAAGTGTTGTATTCGAATCGACTGATTTGAAGGGGGTTTCACTTCACCTTAAAGTGCCGAGCTGAAATTTTCTAAATCGAAAGATGTTTATAAGAAAAATATTAAACATGAAATGTGACGGGGGTCAGGACTTTATCTAGGGTCCCCGGACTCTAGTGGTAAAATTTTGATATTCGACGGGGTGCGATAATTCGAGCTGCAATTACGACGCGACGATTCGATTTAGACAATGGCCGGCCTTTCGGTTTCGCCGGGCAGTCGATCCCACGGTGAGCGATTCTCTGCCAGAAATGGAGTGAATTCCGACAGGCTCTCGGGGTGTTTCCTCCCTCGGATCGAAGGTAACAGGGCCGAGCGGAGTATCGGCAGCCGATATCTCTGCTCCACATTCGAATAATAGCCTCTCATGCTGAACGACCTGCCACCGGGGCACGGATACCTCCTCGAAACAAAGACCTATTAACGCCACTCGAGAGATGCCATGGAGCGACCCTACCTCGACTAATCAGAGGACATGAAAAAGAAGGAAGAGTTCCTTACCCTTTCCCTCTTTCCCCTTATTTTTTTCCCGATTTCTTTAAGGTGAAGTGAACCCCCCTTCAAATCAGTCGATTCGAATACAACACTTTTTTTAAGGGTATTAGACCGCATCACATAGATAGCTTAAGGTGAAGTGAAACCCCCTTCA